AGCAATTGCAGGGTAACAAAATTTTCATTTGTGTCTCTCATCAGTCCAACTTGTGATATCAAATAGTTTTATTTGAGAAACTCACCTTGTTATATGTACTTACCTCGCTTTAATGAAAGCAATTTATTCACAGTAATTCCTTCTTTATCATAAATTGAATGTGTAGCCAAATATAGGCCAATATACTCTTTCCAGGATTCTGAACTGTGACTTGACCCAAGAATGAAGGTAGCTTCTTAGTTGTCACCGGGTCATTCTGTGGGAGGCAGTGAATTAAGTCCATGGCTTATAAGCTATGACCTTGAGTGACCCTTTCAGCCCCTTGCAGCTTCCTCCAGGCTCTTCCTGACTCTGAGAGCACTGAGCATGCTCAGTATTCCCATAGCTCTGTCACTCAGGCATGTTTTCTGCTCTTGGCCCCAGAACCTGAAGCAATACACCCCACACAAACCACACATTTTTAACCATGACAGAACTGGGGGTTCAGAGCAACACTACAGGATAGGGAGTGACCTTAGTTACGGAAACCACGGAGCTCAGAATGGCCAGCAGGAGGAGCATATGGGGCCCTAGTGTCCTAGAAATGTCCTGGGTCACGGGTGAGAAGGGGGAGGCCGACGTGAGGTCACCGTGCCCACAGTGGTGACTGTGCCCATGACAAGGTCCATGTCGGGACGACCCTGTGGGAATGCACACCAGTGGGAATACCCCCATGAACAGGCGCTTGTTCACACAGTAAGTGTGAGTGGTGTGTCTTCTGACCCTCTCTCCTAACCACAGGGAGCTCGGACACCACACACGGGAACAGCCTCCTGCTCCCCCAGGCTCACACCTCAGCCTCTCAAGGCAGGAGGACCACCGTCCGGCCAGGTCTCCACTCCCCTCCGCTAGGACAGGACCCCCAGGGCGAGGGTCCCTGGAGGAGCATCCACAGAGGACACTGCCTGTGGGAAGAGGTGTCACAGCCTAGACTCATCCACACACTGGGCCCTTCTGAGGACTTGTCTCCCGACACCCGCTCCTGAGTTGGGGTGTCCCCATGGAGAGCAGACGTGGAGCCCACAGCCCAGGGCTCACTTCTCCTGCAGCACAGACTCGCTCCCCTGCAGCACAGACCTGAGTCCCCCATAGGGGTCAGCACCATGTGACACATGCAAATCTCCCCACCCCCTCCATGACTTGAAAAGCCGAACCCTGGCCTGGGGCAGTGACTCCTGTGCCCCACCATGGACACGCTCTGCTCCACTCTCCTGCTACTGACCGTCCCTTCCTGTGAGTGCTCTGTCAGGGACACCTCAGGGGTGAAAGGACTCCAGTTCTTGTCTGGAAGTAGCTTCACCTTCTCCTGTTTCCTCCACAGGGGTTCTGGCCCAGGTGACCCTGCAGGAGTCTGGTCCTGGGCTGTTGAGACCCAGCCAGACCCTTACGCTGACCTGCTCCTTCTCGGGGTTCTCACTCAGCACTACTTATATGGGTGTCAGCTGGGTCCGTCAGCCGCCCGGGAAGCCCCTGGAGTGGCTCGCACACATTTGGTGGAATGATGACAAGTATTACAGCCCATCTCTGAAGAGCCGGCTCTCGATCTCCAAGGACACTTCCAAAAACCAGGTGGTCCTAGCAATGACCAGCATGGACCCTGCAGACACAGCCACGTATTACTGTGCACGAGGCACAGTGACACAGCCCTGGGGAGTCCTGTACAAGAACCCAGGCTGGGCCTCAGCTGGGCCCCCATGTCTGCAGCACAGGAACGTGTGGCAGATGGCATTTCCTGCCAGGCTCTGGGGTTCCTCCACACCCACAGCCTCAGAGCCCCGTCTTCCTTTCTCTCCTCTCCTTAGGAGACCCATGTCCCTGCTTGTGCTGCATAGAGGTGAGAGGCTGATATCTGTCTCATCAGCGTTCAACGTAACAAGGTCATGTATGTGGACACTAGGATCACCCACAGGACCCCGCTGTTTCATGGGCTGCTGTCCCTGCAAGTGACAGAACACAAACAAACCCAAAGTCAACTTTTATTACAACGTGGATTTCATGTTGATGTAACATTAGCCGAGAAGAAAGTTAAACAAATTTTAGAGTTACATATCCAAGCTTCTCTCACCATGAAAAAGAAAAAGTGGTTACGAAATTCACGAATAAACTAATGTATGAACTGACAACACCAATGGACTGTGCTCTCATCACGGAGTGTCTGACACAGACAATGTTCAGCGGTTTCACATGGGAGCTGTGACAGATAAACCTTCTTTCAGGACTTGATTTTGTGCCCAGAGAGCCATGAGGGTGTACAATAGTGAAACACCCAAACCTGGAAATGGAAATTCCTAAGTTTAACTCTAGAAGCAAATGGATCACATCTGATGAGAAATCTGGCCGGGGCCATGGGTGGGTCAGTCTCTCCTCCACCTGGGGAAGGGGAACAGGAGTGAAAATGGAGAGCACCTGGGTGCCCACCGGGGCACAGGTGTGAGCACGTGGAGGGGACATTCTCACGGCTGCTTCCCTAGGCGGCCACTTCACTTCTCCATCATGCTGGTTACAGCTGGCTGGTGCCCAGGGCCCCTAAAGATCTGTCCCCAGGACCTGCAGGACAGTGGTGATACCTTTTGTCAGAGATGCCACCCAATCCTACATGGCTGCACCAACTCCTCACTCACAGCCCTTGTGTCAAATATGGGATCTCCTGACACATTTATCAGCCTGAGGAAATCTCATGACTGGTCCATGAATTTCCTGAGTCTGTTAGAGACGCCCATTTCACACCATGCAGTATAAAATATTTGTTCTGGTGGGAGCACTAACTACAGCCCGTCCCTCAAGAGTCGCACCTCCATCTCCAGAGACACATCCAAGAACCAGTTTTCCCTGCAGCTGAGCTCTGTGACCTCTGAGAACACGGCCTTGTATTACTGTGCCAGGGACACACTGAGGGGAAGTCAGTGTGGCCCAGACACAAACCTCCCTGCAGGGGGCACTCGGGACTTCAAGGGGCGCTCCGGACACACTGAGCACAGGGA